AAAAAAAAAACAACTTTGGTGGACTGCAGAGCGGAGTCGCGTTATCAGTCCATTAAATATGGCTCACATACACCAAAGTCTTCGAGCTCAACTTCATGACTTATTGGTCAGAAATGGACAAAAAGTCATAAAACTTAGAAACTATGATGGTTAAAAGTTTGTTTTGTATTGTGAACATTTAATTTCAATTCAATTTTATTTATTTCTACAGCACCAAATCACAACAGTCACCTCAAGGCGCTTTATATTGTAAGGTAAACCGTACAATAATACATACAGTTAGTGACAGTACTGCATGAAGGTGTAAAGTATCACATCATATTTGACCTCTGATCTCTCTGTAAAGGTCAACAGACTGGTCCGAAGATCAAAGTGATAAAAACGCTGAGTTTTTTATTAAAACGGTTTCTTTTTTTTCTTTTTAGAAAACTAAACACAAACTCTTTAAACATGATATTTATTACTACACGCGTACTATACCCACATAAATGAAAAAAAAAAATTAAACTCAAAACTATGAAGCCTGAACCATTAAATAACTGTCAGAAAAATATAAAACTGGAGACTTTATTTAACACTCTGAACACTGGAAAAATAATCACATTTGCATACATGAGACTTCATTTAAATCTTTGGTATTTTTGTGCAGTTTTTCAGGGTTTTTTAAGTAAAAAATAAATAAATCACACTGATAATGCAGAGATCTGAAAAACTCCCAAAAGCTGATATCAAATATAATACAGTTTGCATTACAGGATTAAAATGGGTTTAAACATAACAAACAAAATCCAATATTTTGCACTTCTTTAAAAATAACTGCACTCCAAACCGCTTAGGTCAGCGGTCCCCAAACCCCGGGCCGGTACCGGTCTGTTAGTCGTTTGGTACCGGGCCGCAAGAGTTGAGGCTCCGGTGTGAAATTTATGGTTTTCAGGGTTTTTATCATGATTTTTTTTTTTAATCGTATTTGTCGTTAACTCAGTTTCCCTGGGTCTTTTCCTGTGTGTTATGAATAAATCCTCTGTTTTTTGGTACCTGTACTGGTTTGTTGTATTTATCCACAACATCTTTAAGGCCAGTCTGTGAAAATATTGTCTGACATATTCCGTGTTGGTTTGGGGACCGCTGGGTTAGATTACATTTAAAAAAATATAACCCTATTCCATTAAAAGTATATACTGGCGTTAGCTGCACGCTCTCAGACTGCTTCTGGTTTGTGATGCGTTTGAGATGCGAATGATCATACAGGAAGTTGTGATGCGCAGGTCCAGAGTTTGAAGGGATAAGATGAGATGGAGATGACACTTTGCTGAAATCGTGTAATCTTTCCATGTCATCTTCAGCTGATCCAGTGATTTCCTCACTGATTACAGCTCCAAGTATTTTAACTGTCTCACAGTATCACTATCAGGAGGTCCTAACCCTAACCCTAGCCGTCTTATTGCTGCCTCATACCCAGCATGCATTTCAACATTAAAGAACCATCAGCTGGCGGTCTTCGTTAGATAGACGGTTAAAATAATTTTGTTAAAAACTTAGAGACAGTATCTGCTTGACGTACTTCTCGGATGTGTTTGTCTGTAGAAACATTTCCAGAAACAAAAACTTTGTGTTTGAGAACTCTTTCATGGTTTTCGTGACATCAAAGGAAGGTGATAGTTGTCACAGTCCACGCAACGAATTATTCTTTACATGTACATCAATGTCTGTGTACACTGTAACCAATGATCTGACAGAGATTTCTCACTTAGTAAGAGAAGATTTGACCTTCTACGTGAAAACGTCAACATCATCCACGGTTCAGATTTCGCCACCACGCTGCGACCACCTTTCACAGACATAACGCTGCTGTTTCAACCGCGTTTGCAGTGACACACGTAAATTCATTTAGGAAAATAAAAGCGCAGCCACGACTCCAGATTGCAACAGCAGGTTTGTTTGATTCATGCAAGTTTCTGCAGATGTTGTGCTCTAAACATGAAGTATTCCCTCAGAGTGCAGCTGCTGCATCCCTTCACCACTGCTGGGAAAATCTCTCATGATCGTCTGACAGCAGAATGAGTCATTACTTTAGCGATGAGTTCCGCATTAGCTCTGCAACAGCTACTGCAGCAACTCTGGGACCCTAAACGGGGTTCATCAGACCGGATCTGGACCTGTGGGAACCCTTAGGATACTTCCCATCTTTGTGTGGACTCTCAGTCATCCCACTAAGCCTGAACCTGGCTCTAACCCCCCAAAGTCAGGCCTGAAGTCTCAGGAGAGGCCCAGATTAAGGACTGGACCCGTGTCCTCAGAGCGATACAGAAAACAGTTGACACGCTGAGTTGCTGTGGTTCTGTTCCCCTGATTCAATTATTCTACAAACAGCACCACATGACAGCTTTCAACCACTGAAGCTAAACGTGGAGGTGTCATGTGACCTGTCTGACCTCAGCTTCACCAGAGAGCGAGCGAGCGAGCGAGCGTCACGTTTAATTAGATTGAGTCTAATGTAATGAACTATGTCTCTCTGACCTTCAGCCACAAACCTCTGGAATCCCAAAGACCTGAGCACGAACCACATGCTGCTTTGGTGGGTTGTTCATGGGCAAGTTTCATAAAGCAAACAATCAATAATACAATCAAATCAGCTCCCAGATAACGAGGCAGCAAAGCAAACACAGCCTGAGAGAGGGGGTGTCAAACATGCGGTCTGGGCACCAGAACGACCCGCCAGAGAGTGCAGAGCGGCTCACTGGATACGGATCGCTTTGCATAGTGTGGCAACAGTTGTATTTTAACCCAAAACATGATATTTCTCTAACCTAACCACGTGGGTTTAATGCCTAACCCAGAATATTGTTAATCAGCTCATATCAGACCAGATACATGAAGATTCGTATGCAGAAACAGATTCTGTTGCGAGACTATCCGAAAAACTTCACATGGTGCATGACAAGGAAAACACAGATAAGTATAAAATAAAAATACTGAACTATAAATGTTGCACCAGCTGCAGGACAGCATAACTGCACAGAATATAAGCTAGTTCCTGGACGCCTCCCACATGGAGGCCGGGGCAGACCCAGGACATGCTGGAGAGATTATGTCTCTCTGCTGGTTTGGGAATAACTGTGTCCCACTGGATGAGCTGGAAGAGGTGGCAGGGGTGAAGGAAGTCTGGGCTTCCCCATTAGACTGCTGCCCGTACCCGGATAAATGGCAGAAAATAGATGGATGAATGGATGATCTACAACATATGATGGATATTTAATTGTGACGGCTTTCAGAGTGTGCTGCTTTATGTTTAAAAATAAAAGCAAACTGTCATACTTTTGCTGCTCAGGGATTAGAGCTTTTATGTTTCTGTTTGTTTAAACAGACGAGCAGAAAAATGAAAGTAGAGGCAGGACATGGAGCTGCAGAGACCAGCCGCAGCATCGCACCAATCACCACCATGACTGTAACTTTCACTGCGGGCAGCAGCGATGAAGGTTAAATAACTTCATCCTGCTTTCAGTGGCCATTCAGTGAGTCTCTACAGCCATGGCTCAAGTTTAAATGACAAAGAGACAAACACTCAGGCTTCTGACAGCAGACCTGTGTGATGTCACAGAGATGACATATACCTAATATGGTCATCTCAGGAGCAGAAGCCCCACCAAACACTAAGGACGCCGTGGTAATTTAGCGCTTTGTGAATCACCTTGTTGGTGCAAAAATATTATTTTGTGCCTCTCAGATGTGTTATCTTTGGGGTTTTTTTAATAAATGCAAACAAACTGTTCTTGTGACAGGCAGAGAAAAATATTTCAAAAATTTGCAGAATTTGGTGTAATGTGTTGGAGCCAGACCCTGAACTTCAACAGGTAACAAACTGATGAGGAGTCAGTCTGCAGACTCCGTTTGTACCTGTTAATGTTTCTACAGGAGAAGCACCATGGCGATCTCATCTAAGTTTCTTTGTGAAGGTTTTCATCTTTGCTTTGCGTTCATACCTAAATACTAAGAGGAAGCGCTTATGCGTGTCCTTATTAGGACACGTGACGGCAGCCAAAGGTTTATATTGTTAAGTGCTGATTATGACACAATTCAGGTCATTTTACGGAGAAACTGGAAAGTAATGTAACAAATTACTTTCCCCAGTGAGTAATTAAAGTACTGCATTACTTTTAAGAAAAGTAATAAGTAATGTATAATGGCTTGAGTAATGATCCCAACAATGCTGATGTGTAGACACATCACTGGTTCGTCCATTGAATTGGTGACTTTTTATGCTTGAATGAGTCACAGGTCAGCGTTAAGTGGTTCCACAAACAAACAGCCTCTGAAACTGGTCAGGTACAAGGATCCGACTGCAAATAACTGAGAAAGTCCAAAGGAAAAAGTTTTAAATACTTTCAGAAAGCCTGGAGAAGTACTGTCCAGAACCACTTTTTTTAAACTACAAGGAAGAAATTTTGGCTCACTGGAAGCAAAATGTGAAGAAATGAGGCCGACGCAAGACTTCTGCACAGCACTTTAAAAATTCCAGATATTTTATCTTCTCGGAACCAGCTGCCGACACCATCCCTATAAAAATGTGCAATTTCTGCTGAGTTAAAGGCACTTTTTGTAATTACCCTCTGCAGAATGCGTCAAATAAGATGCTGCTCCAGGGGGCAGCATTTTACCAGATGTGTTTACAGATGTGTTGTTTTTTTTCCCCTTCTATTCTTTTGACATTTCTTTTTACTTTTTCCTCCATTTCCTTAAGAGGCTTTGGCATTTGCCACTTTAAACAATGTTTATGATGACTCACCTGTAAAGGTTACGGTGAATCGCTGCACCATCTTGTGGTACAGTCTGGCATTACATGAAAGTACAGCCCAGCCCTAGTTTAACTTCAGCTCATTGCTCAATAACACAACATGCAGACAGAGCTGTGGTTAAATCTGGAAGCTTTCAAACATTTTAAAAACACATACATTCACAGTAAGTGCCTTTAAACAAATACACAAAAGCTGCAGTGCACTCACCTGTCCTGCAGGTGGCGCTGCGGCTGCCATGTGGTGGCGTGTTGAGGTGGTAGGAGAACCTCATGGTGCTGAACTGACTGGAGAAGGAGGGAGCAGGAGGAGCAGGGAGGCTGAGCAGAGTGCTGCGAGGTCGGTTCAGCTGCATGCCTGCACACTGCACACCTGTACGCAGGTCAGGGTTTATTCAGTTCATTCTCCACTCTCATGAGATTTTTCCTTCTCTTTTTTCTTTTTATTTTAAAATATGAGTGTTTGTTTTTGAATCAGTCACTTTCTGCTTGTTCAGAGTCAGTTTTGCTCTCAGAGAAATCCACACAGGCGCACTCGGCATCGGTTATCTGCTTCACTCTTTTCTCCATTCAGGAAAATGAACTTCAGCTGCGACTCTCTGGTGGTTCGCTCTCTGGCTGAAGCCATGTGGAGGTCAAAAATGTCTCACCCTCCTTCATCCTCCCCCTCTCGCTCCCATCTTTTCCTCTTTGTCACTCTTTCAGGAATCTAAACGTTACCAGTCTCCGTGCCTCCATCTCCACGTCACGTATCCGCAGAAACAATCAGAGGAATCCGGCTGATGTGGTTTTCAGATTAAAAACCTTCCCCGGGTGTGCCGACTGAGGGTTTCTGTCAGTCCAGCTCCTCCGAGATAAAGCTGAGGAACAACTTTTGAGGATCCAGAAACCTGAAATCAAACACGTCTGTAGGAGCTTTAGAGCAGAATGTGCAGACTCAGCTCTCCTCCTGCTCGAGTGCCTCCACTTTTTCTGATTTCTGCTCCTCCTGCTGCTTTGGTTTGACTCCCTCTGAAGACTTTTTGCTCTTTCTCTTCAGCGTCAGTTTGTCCAAACAGACAGACAGACAGACTGGCTGTCGGTTGGCCGTCTCTCGGCAGCTCCAGGCTTTTGTGTGAAAGTCTGATCTGAGCTGCAGACCGACACCACAACTCCTCCTCCTCCTCCTCCTCCGTCCAGACATCTGATCCCAGAGCAGCTCCCCTCCTCCCTCTCTCCTCTCCCTGTGGTCTGGTTCTCATTTTCTCTGTTTTCTGAGGCTGAAATTTGAAGCAAAAGGAAAACTTTGGAGAAAAATTCCAGCAGGATATTTTAAATTTTTCCCCTTTACCAACACCAGAGTCTGACCTCCACTTACTCTCCACCACTCATGACTCTGCTTTTTCTCTTTCTAACAGAAGCACAGATTCAAGTTTCAGGATGATGTGAGCAGCAGCTTTCAACCACCAGGGGGCTCCAACCCTTCATTCCACATGTCCCTGCTGCGCTCGGAGCCTCAGTCTGAGATCGTAACAAAGGTCACATTTCAGTGGTTTTAAGATCCGTCCACAGACGGGAGCAGACTCCCAATATGTCAAAACATTTTCTTCAGGCAGAGCAAAGATCTGCTGCCACCTGCTGGGACATGCTGACATATTTAAATATCCTGCTTGATCATCTTTCTGCAGCATATGCTGCTCTGGCCTCTTTTCTCATGCTCCGTCTGAAAGCCTCTGTTTTAGCTCCCGTCACTTGAAAGGACTGAATCTGGTCTTTTTGGACTCTTAACTGGGAACTTGAAGCTTTAAGTGCTTTTTACCCATCATGCACACACATGGGTTCCATCATCAGTGTCGTGCATGTGGAGTCAAACCACTGACCATCTCCATGAAAATTGCCAGAAGAAGGTGGATCACCCTATGATGTCCATTCACTCTAAACTATGACCGGGTAATGTCAGGGGTTCTCTTGTGTGACCAACAGTAGCTGTTACTGTGTCTCTGTATGGATGGCGGTGCAGCGTGTGAATGACACACAGCCAGGACACACTGGAGAGATCATCTCTTGGCTGGTTTGGTAATGCTCGGTGTTGCCGAAAAGAATAGATATTCATCTACTACCAGATGAAAATTGCTTCTGTTTCTGCCTGTTTACCATGTTGGCTAAGGTACTGCACTCCACACCAAGTGTTTTTTTACTGTTATGAGTGCAGTATCACAAAGCTGTGGATTTCCCTCTCATCTACCTTAGAGACTAGATGAGGAGCTCGTTCAGGAGAGGAAGAGTAGAGCTGCCAGCAGCCAGATGAGGTGGTTCGAGAATCCTCCGAGGTGCCACCCAGGTGAGGTATTCCAGACATGTCCTAATGGGGATGGGGGGGTGAGGTGTCTCTGTTGTGGACCCAGGACACGCTGAGAGATTAGATCTCTCGGCTGCCTTGTGAACACCTCACTGTCCCCTCAGACGAGCTGGAGGAGACGGCTGGGAGGAGCGAGGTCTCGGCTCCTCAGCTTAGACCGTTGCTCCTGCAACTGTAGCCATACTTGACAGTTTGGATGCACTTAAGCACTCAGAGCGGTGAATACAAGTAACAAAGTATGTGATTCGGGACACAACATGTGAGTTTATCAGAACTCTGAAGTTCAACACAACCTTCGTACCAGAAACTACCTTTGCCAATTTTTTACATGCACTAAAACAAAAAAACAAAAAACAACGTGTGTGCCGTAAACTCCAATCAGCTTCATCTCAGAAAACATTTCAAAAGCAGACATTTTACATCTCATCACTTTGACATGTTTTCTTGTTTTAAATCTAAAAACATTTTATTTAAATTTACGAAAACAGACAAAAACAAAAAAATAAGTAAAATTATGTTTCCAGTAGAAAAACGAGAACATAAATGATGAGTCAGTGAATGTCCGACCTTCTGCTCCTCAGGCTGTAACGAGGCTGAACATCAGGGTGGTGATGAAGAGGAGGACGGACAGGAGAAGAGATGCGAGAGCAGAGGTCAGCATCACAACAAGGAGGGAAATCATGTTTCTAATGTTTACATCACACAATATTCCTAAAATGTCCAAAAACAAAATGTTTTTCCAAAGAAAATGTAAAAACACTAAACATCAAAAAATGAATAAGAATAGTCAAATCAGGCCCACAGAACGTGAACAAAATATTCTGATAGTTGATGTCATGTTTAAGAGAAAATAAAACGCGACATAAACTCTGGTTTCTAATCGATCAGATTCACAGCTCGTCGATATTTCCCAGTCCGTGTTTGCGTCTGTGAGTTTCCGGGTTTACAGAATCAATATTTAGCTTTGAAGAATTTTGGTTGTTTAACCATACAGATTAATACTCGATAATCAGCCCTCCCTACCTGTTTGTCCTCCACCAGGATGCTGTACACCAGCGGGGAGGAGGGGGGAGACCGAGGACGGCGAGAGGATGAGCGACGAGGACGCCTGCCTGGACTCTGACGCACTGAGGCGTTGTGGGAACCGTTCCTGAGGGTGGAGTCGACTGATGAGGCGTTCTCGGTGCTGCTGAGGATGCTGTCGCTGCTCCAACCTGCAGCACAAAAAGACGTAGAAGAAGAAACCATGTGGACAGCTGTGCCACATCTGCATCTCGCTAATTAAACTCAAACTGTTTAAGTTTGAAGCTAATTGACTAAACTAACTCTTTAATTATAGATTATTGTGATGTCACAGCTGACATACGTAACACCAAAAGCAGTTACGATAAACTCAGCTTAAACTGATTCTAGGTTCACTTTCACACAGACTTCAATACAACTTCTGAATTATTTCGCCCCCTGCTGGTCATCAAGAAGGATGGTTTTAGGCACATCTACACCCGCATCACTGTTTTAGACACAGAAGCTTCAACACCAAAGAGCCACAACAGCCACAGCGCAACTTCAAACAGCTAATAAATCGAGTAGTTTTGTTCTTGATATAAACAGAAGACAGAGTCAGTGGTGCAGAGATAACAACTTGCTCCTGAACACCTCCCAGGCAAAAGAGCTGATCATCGACTTCAGGATGAAATAAATCAATAATTAAGCCTTTAATAACGAGCAGGAACTCCGTGGAGAGGGTCACAGACTTCCAGTTTCTGGGAGTTTAGATCAAGGACGACCTGAGCTGGGCCATAAACACCACAGAGCTGTTTAAGAAGGCATCGCAGAGACGCTACATCTTCCAGAGGCCGAGAGATTTAAAACATACTGTTCTGTGTGTGCTTTTCCCGTGGGACAGAAAAAGGAACATCATTAACACTGGACGTCCTCTCGCTACTCTGGAGGAACCTGCGTAGTTACTGCTGCTGGAAAAACACAAATTCAACATAATAACATGATAAAGGATCAATCTCACTGTTAGCATCAGACAGTGTTGAAGTGTCCTCATGAATGTGCTCTTTGCACTAAACGAGTTGTGTAATTTGGGAGAATGGAGAAAGATAGTTTTTGTCTCCTTTGTCTTTATCTCTTATATAGTTTAATATCATTTATACACTATTTTTATTATTGCTGCGAGTGATCATTGCACTCCTGATTGCACTTAATTTCACTGTACACGTTACAGTGACACTAGAGTTATTTTATTCTTTTGTTGCATCAGTATTTGCAAACCAGAAGGATTGCCGAGGAGCTTAAATGGCACACTTTATGTGACGTCTGCCAGCTGGATGTGTATCAGCTGAGCCTGAACCAATGCTACAATGGCCAAGAACAAAGTCGGAACTTATTAACCATTTTCCTTCCTCTGTGAGTGTGCAGACTGCAAATCCAACTGCAATCAGATTCAGTCCTGACACAACACAGACAAAGACAACTTTCTCGCCCTTTGGCAGATGGATGGATGGATGGATGGATGGATGGATGGATGGATGGATGGATGGATGGATCAACAACTACTGACCGAAGTGCGAGAGGTTCGATGGGTCTGAGCCACCGGTGGTGGGATATATGTCTTCCTTGTCTTCCTCTTCTCTTCTTTCCTCCTTCCTCCTCAGCATCTCCTCTCTTCTTCTGCTCTCTGATCTCATCTGGAAAACACGACACAGCTGATCTGGAACCAGTGGAACGGAGTCAGAGCGTAACCTCTCCTCTGTTAGCAGGTGTATACACCTGAACTGTCTCCTGATGTTCTCACCTTCACAGGAAGCTGATCGTCCTCTGCCGTCCTCCGTCGCTCCCCTAAACTCTCTGCAGACAAAGTTTTCTCTTCAGTAAATTATCTGCGCCAGTCAAACTCACTGGAATCTATGAAAACCTCCAACCGGTTGGAGACATCCACTGTGACACCACCAACAGCTAATCGAGCACCACCATGTTGGCTTTTTTGGATCTCAACGTCCCGTTATGCATTCATAAAGAAATCACAGAAATAACCTGGGTGGCCCTCATAGTGCCTACTTCCATCTTTTGTATACAGTCTACAGTTTTCCCAAGTGTCTGCATGCTGGCTGAACTCACCTGCATGCTGCAGCGCCTCCTGCAGGCTCCTCTGAGTCTCTCTGAGCTGCTGCAGCACCTGCAGACTCTGCTGCACCGGGTCCCTGTAGCGCACACACACCACCAGCAGAACACACACTCCAACACACACCATGAATCGCCTCAACGCACTCACGTACACAGTGAGCAGCTCCTGAACGCAGGAAAGAGTGATGAATGTGTGAATGTGTGCATCAGGTCAAAGGTTAAAGCATCCGGTGAAGCTCAGGTGAGCATACTGACCATGTGTTGGTGCTCAGGATTATCAGAGCTCAGCACAAACTGGTAGATCTTTCTCTCCAGGTAGAAATTCAAACATACTAAACTCAACAACACCAACCTAAACACACACACACACTATCAGTTACACGTTAAAACCCAGCTCTGTGCAAAGGCGGGGAAGGGAGGTGGCGTTACCTGGCTCTGGAGGAGCGTGGGGTGGAGGTGATGAGGAAGGAGGTGCAGAGGGCAGCGGCGTTGTAGCAGCAGGAGCTCAGGCTGTGAGTCTCCATCAGAAGGAAACTCTGCAAAAAGGAAACTCTGTTGAAGAGTTCGGACAGCGCCACCTGCTGCTCCCTCGAGGTGCTGCTGAGCTCTGAGAACACCGACCGCAGACCTGAGCAGGGGACAGGTGGAGAGAGGCGGAGGAAGTGAGTCTTTCAGGTGCTTGATACATTTCGAAGAGGTGTCTGTGTGTCTCAGGCCATCAGTGTGCGTTTACCCCGTGTTGAGTCTCTGAGTGTGACTCTGAGCTCCTCGCCATTGGACAGGATCGCCTTCTGCGCCTGCAAGGCAGCACTCTGGGCCTCGATCAGGTCCTCAGCCATCAGCTTGGTGGACTGAAGCTGCTCGGCTACACCTGCCGAGCTCTCCGTCAGCCTGACACACACGCACACACATCTGTTACACACACACATGCACTTCCTCACCTCAGCATGATGTCATCTGTGCTTGCTCACCTGTAAATGGTGTTTTCTGCTTGGCGCTGCCAGGCCTCAGACTGCAGGAAGTGGCACATGGAGTGAGTGTGTGTGAAGAACTCTGTGTAGCTGTTAAACGCCACTGTGTCCATGCCAGCTGTACATCTGCTGACCTCTGACCCCTCAGGGCATGCTGGGAAATCCCTGCCTGAGCTGACAGATGGACAGACACAGGTTATTGTTAAACTGAAGTATCTGCGAGGCAGCCATGATGACAGCTGGTTTAAACCTGTAAGGAAAGGTGACTCGATGCCTCCTACATTACTTCCTTTAGCAGAGGATACAATGGACTATCTTTTATCAAAGGAAAGGAGATGATGCCGTCTGACAAACTGAAACTTTGAGTCCAAACTCATCATTCATGAAAGACTCATCACCTGTGAAGCACTTTGATGTCTGATGTTATAGAAGATCAAAATAAAGGGGGGGGGTTGTACTTTTTGAAGTGGTTGTGGCCTCGTTTGGGGCACAGACGTCTCTGATTTGTTTATAAAAGGAAAAAGTTTACCTCTTAACATCTGCCAGGTCATTGGTAACACACCCACGGTTTGAGCAAACTGCTGCCTCAGCTTTAAATGATAGTGGTGGTTGGGTTAGTCAGTGAGGTGAGCTGAGGTTTAGGTTTAGGCTTCCACCTTAAAACAATTTGAAGTAGCGAGTGAACCCAGGAACCCCAAACTGAAGATCCAAACATATCAAAGTACATATGTACTCCCCCTTTACAGAGAAATTTAGCCTGTTGGGAAGAAATAAAAATTTAGGGTATTTACAAGCGGTTCTGGGATTTCCCTCGTTTTTTTTCTTCCAGCTGTACTGCAGCTCTTGAATCGGCCACATGATGGAAGTAAACGAATGCGAATAGGAGATACAAACCCAGAAAATAGCAGAGTGCTACAAACACCAGCTGCTTCTTTTAGATGCAATCTAATCAAAAATATGATTTTGATCGGGATTATTTAATAAAGGCTCGCAGTGCAGGACAGCAGCGCGAGGAAACACCTGTTTTTCCAGTTGTTACCTGCTCAGGTGACAGTGGGTGAACCGCAGCGCGATCAAGCTCTGGCTCTCCGACGTCAAGTCCCTGCAGCTCGCGTCCAGGTGCTCCAGAGCTCGCGCCCAACACTCTCCGTACCGGGACTGAGCCGCGAGGGTGCGCACGCGCCGCAGCTCCATCCTGCCGCGCTCAGAATCCGGAGCCGAGGAGGAAGAGGAGTGTCCGGGACCGGCGGAGAGTCCGAGCAGAACCGAACCACTCAGCAGCAGCAGCACCATGTCAGCACGAGCTGCCATCCTCACCTGTCTGCAGGTCGACCGTCAGCCAATAAGAGAGCGGGGGTTTTACCCGCATGGAGGTTAACGGGAGGTCACGAGATGTGAGTTTTCTGATCAGTTTACCTTTGATCCAAACAGACGAAGCTCTTTTATTTATTTTGAGTACACTTTGTGAGAGTTTGTGTTGTTGGTACACAACTTATTTAAACTTTAACAATGAGACTCTTTTACTCTGAAACTCACCCACAACACCATCACGTCATCATGGGTTCGATTTTAGCCCTCAACCTGAAAGCATTGGACTTTTGGTATCACCCCTCTGGCCTGGTGGTGTGGACATCCAACTGCGTGAAGCAGAAATATTGTCCTTAAGGCAGGGGCGTGTGCCGTGGGACGGGTTGGGGACCGGGAATAGGTAAACGCCGCTCCCTCCACAGGAATTCAGAATATTTCATAAAAAATTCCCATCTGGGAAGCAAAACTTTATCATGGTGGACAAGTTTGCAATCGTTTCTCTGTTTGGCGTCTTCCAAGGTAAACTGGTTCTGTGTGTGGTTCAAAAGACCCTCTATGAAGAAAAAGCTGGACCACTTCGCCCTGCCCGGTTAGGGTTACCGAGGACCCCCCCAATTACTGATTAATTGATGTCTATATTACTTTAATGTTGTAGCTGAAATAATAATAATAATACATTTTATTTAAAGTCACCTTTCAAAACACCCAAGGACACTGCACAGAGCAAATAAGACAGGCATAAAAACAGGAAATAAACACAATAATAAAATAAAGTTTAAGAGCATGGAGAAGTTATATAGAGTAGGCATCTTGAACAGGTGGGTTTTGAGGGTGGACTTAAAAAGAGGGAATGAAGGGATGTTTCCGAGGTCAGGGGCAGAGCGACTAAAAGCCCTGCCCCCCATGGTAGTAAGACGAAAAGAAGGAACAGAAAGAAGACAAGACGAGGAGGATCTGAGGGATGGGATGGGATGGAGATCTGTACCAAATCAGAAAGGTATGGTGGGGAGAGAGAATGAGTGGCCTTAAATGTATAAAGAAGTATTTTAAAATTAATGTAAAGTTTAACTGGGAGCCATAGGGGGTAGGGGTGATGCGGTGGTAGAGGGAGTCCTAGTAATAATACGGGCAGCAGAGTTCTGGACACGTTGAAGCTTATTGATGGATTTTTGTGGCAGGCCAAATAAGAGTGAGTTACATGGATGAGAATGACAGCGGCATGCTGAGTGAGGAAGGAGCGGAGGCGATTGATGTAACAGAGTTGCAAATATGCTGAGCGAGTGACATCATTGATGTGCAAGTCAAAGGATAATGTACTGTCAAGAATGACGCCAAACAGATTGAAACTGACGAGTTATTGATAGTAACAGAAAAACAGTTGGATAGCGATAATTTGGAGTCAACCAGGAGAAGTTCTGATTTGTGACTACTTTGAGTAAAATGAAATGATTTGATTATTCACACTGCTCTATAGCTTTATGTATAATATTACTGCACCATAGATAGAGATTATTATTATAGTTTATTATCTCCAATATCTACAAAATAAAAATAAATGGTATGGCGCATGAGGAGCTGTGCTGTCGTGGCAGCGCTTGCTTGGTAAGGTCTCTCAAGGTCAGTCTGATGGTGATTTAAGCAAACTTATTAAGAAAAAGTTCAAGGCCTCAGCCTGGAGCCATGGGTGCCGTCCAGGTTCTGCCCAAAAGAGTCCCATTGGGACATGACCACTGTGCCACTGACCCCATTCTGGCTACACTTCTGCTTAGTTTGTGTTCAAACTCATGTTTTTGCTCTTGGACTCTACTGGAGCAGCTTTTCATGATCCAAAGTTTTAAAAAGGTCCTTATTTATGTTTATTTTCTGGGCTGTGATGCAGTAAATTGGTCTCCTCTCCCTTTAAGATAACCTTACTCTGTTTGGCTGCCACTCACAAACAGAAGGGCTGCACAGCAGGTGGGTGGGGCTTCTCCGATCTCTTTATCATGTATACAAGAATAGGAAACAAAAACTGTGTTTAGAGCAGCCTGAAGGTTACTTGTAAATACACTGATCTCGTTCTTTTAAATTTTGGTCACGAGTAATGTTGACGTCCAGCATCGCAATAATAAGAAGGAACTTGTGGAGAGAAACCTGAGAGTCATAAGTAACTGGACATGAAATTACATGTTTATTGGGGAGCTGTGAGCTATTAGAGCTCAATCCTCAGAGAGCGTCACTCAGTATGAGGAGGACAGACGAGGGCAATCATGACTCAAGCATGACTCCGGTGACGGAGGAAGTCCCCAGATGACAAAAAGCCAGAACATCACAGAAATTAGGGAAAGTCCAAGATTGCAAAATCGCTGCACATGCCCAGGCAAGCTTACTCAAAGTAGTCAGAAAATGATGTGGTTGATGCTCACTTATGCACTATTTTACTGTTTGCTGACTGAACTGGAGACATTTAAAAACAAACAAGACAGAAAGAACGAGAGTTAAACCAGTCGCTCTAACCTCGAAATGAAAACATCCACAGTAGTTAAACTGAAATCACACCTCAGATATCTAGAGGTTAATTTTCTGTATAAGTATTAATTAAATGCTTCGGGAGTTTCTAAGTAGTTTTATTCGAACCCTCGTAGTTTTATAAGCATATTTTATATTTCTTTAAAGTAACTAAAAACTTTTAATAAACTCGAATCTCGGCTGTCTTTATCTCAGGTCACTCCTATGTATGACAGAGAAGCTGTTTTTGATTTAGACGGCCCTCAATCGACACAGGTCAAAGGTCAGATGACAGAGGAGATCTTGCTCTTTAGGCTGAAAAAGCCAGGGCTTTTGCTCCCTGAACTTTGTCTCTCAGGTTGCACAGTGTGACATCACAGACTGTGCAAACAGCCGAATCTAACGAGGCGTGATGTCAGCAGGTGGTCTGAATCCGGGCTCGCAGCTCTGCTCGGTCACTCTTACCTTCCAGGTGAAGACTGCGACGTCTCAAACATCAGAAGCTCGTCTTCTCTACAAACATAGACTGCTCCACACGTGGCTCCTTTTAGCTGCTGCTGTGCAGCAATAAAATTAAATGTTTAGGTTTATGTTCTATAATCTAACGGTCCAAGTGTTTGTTTTACACAGCTGTGAAGGCGCCGTTAATGCTGAATGACATGTAAAAGTTTCAGAGCAGGGGGGTCAGAAATACAATCAAAGAGCCGGCTGAAGGAAGCGTTGAGTTACAGGTTGCTCCAACCCAGGACTCTGAATTATTGTTACTTTCACAGCCTTTTGTTTTGTGGTTGTCCTCATTGGGCTTTTTAATCACGTTTTGTAAATACATGGTTAATTAAATTTTAAAAACTTAATTCTTTAAACTGAAATACATAAATAAATGTTTTTTAAATAGCTTATTGAGCAGCATTATTACTAGTGTAGTGGAAGTAGTCTGGGTGCTTTGCAGCGTTATGAAGCAAACAGTACAAGAAAGGAAGTCCTTCACTGGTGAGCAGCTAAAACCCAAAATCGAGTAAGAAGATTGTTGCAACACAAGGTGAAGGCATCAAATTCAAAATAAGCTGTTACCAGATTTCTCAGGTTTAACATGTGATATGTCCTGTATGTGCTCTTTGGAGTGATAGGATAATCGACACTCCTGCAAGAGTCACTGTGAAGATGAGGATGTTTCAGCCATTGGCTCCTCGTCCTCTGAGGTGTTTGTGTGAAAAAGAGAAGCTCAGGCAGTCAAAGAGACGACACAGATCAGGGGACAACAAACGCTTTTAGTTAGAAAGAAAAATAAGAAAACAGGTAAAAACTAGTTTGTCTACAGCGACAGTGTATTGGAGTTTCCACTGAATTCCAACCAGAATAAAAGCAGAATATTCATCCTCAATATTAGCAACTATGAAGTCACCACACACATCACTACTAATCTAGAAACACAACATGGCTTGGCTGACATGGTGGCTTCTGGCAAGACGCACAATATTATAGGCACTAAACTCTGGAACATGCAATATGGTGGCTGGTTACTGTAGTTTGTGCCGGGTCGAGTCCTGTGGAGTGAGTCCGATTACAGCGGGACGTTTGATTTCTGCAGCAGCGTGAAGCAAACGGGTTCGCTGCTCTGGGCAGACTGGGTGGCGCCACCTACGCAGAGGCTTCGTCACAGCGCGAGGACTTTACAGAGCGAGGCACGTTTATTTTGTCCAGGACGAAGACATTCAGATTCCCAAAGAGAAAGGGTTATGAGAGAAATTGGGCTTCCTGACGGGATGTTTCAGGATGATCTAAAAAAAGGAAGGTACTTTATAATTCTCACGGTTTTAATTACTCTTTTAGTTCACATAAGTTTGTTTTCTGTACCCTTCAGCTTGTTTTATTTATATTTTCATGAATAAATTTATTTTTAGAACCAATAACGACGCACACCATCCTGTTAATGGGTTAACACCTCGATTCCACTTTAAAGGTACTTTTTGTAGTTACCCTTTGCATAATTTAACTCAGGCTTGCACCACCAGGGGGCAGTGTTTTGACAGTGAGTGTGCTCTAAGATGCTTTTCTGTTTAACTTCTTCTAGTCTAGTAAAATTTATATTGAATTTTTAAATATAACCTGATGAATTCCAAAATAGGGTTAATGGTTCTTTTTGGAGTTACCGTTTAAAAATTTTATGAAACCTTTCATCACCAGGCAGGCAGCGTCTTACAGGTGAGATGCTTTCACAACCATAGTATATTTGTTTACACATTGATCTTCTAAGCAAAAGATCCTTGCTGTGATTCGAGGAAGAGACACAAATCCCTTTGGGGTTGTGTCAGGAAGGTAAAACAGGCAGAGATAACTGCTGTGAATGAAGAAGTAGCTTATTTATGCGTTTTAACATTCAATTCTTTTTAGCCGCTCCTTTTTTTTTAAGGAAGCTTTGCCCTTTTCTAGGCCACCTGTGTGAAGCAAATATGTTTATATATATATAACTTGCGTACTTACAGAAAAAAAAGGCTACATTGCTGCACAATCTTGTGACATTACTCAAAAATACCACCTGTTCTTTACTTCAGTTGGTATCTCTTCATCCAAGTATAAAAGACTTTGGAAACATTCAAAAATTAACTAAACAGTAATTTTCTTCAAGTACCTTTAAACAAAGAGTACGGAGGCTTCAAACAAGCGGCAACCTCCAGGGCAAAAAAAAAAAAAAAGACAAGCAAACATAGGTGAGCAAAAGTTAGCAGCTAAACTTACTGAAACGCAGTGAAGGCAACAACCTGCCCAAAAAAAAAAATGCAGTTCTATATTTTTCTTTTCATTCAAGCCTCTCTTATTACTGTTGTTGTTTTTTAACATAATTTTGTCTCCTTTTATGTCCTGATTTTAAAGTTTTTGTTGCTTATTTTGCTGCTGTACTTTTCCTATTATATTTTCATGTCACAATTCAGAGCTGCACACTTAAAAATGAACTTCTTCCTAGTCCCCCTGGCCTTTTTTAACTTTTTACCCAAGTCTGATGTTTTGAATGCCTCCAGTAAACACAGACTGTACAAAAGAAGAGATCATAGTCAGTGCCGGTCTGCGAAGCCTTGGGTTTGGCATTGTGGTGCCAGAAGAGTCCAGATTCGGAAGAAGCTTATGTGCACTTATTTGGCGCCTTTCAACCTTAGCAGGTCTAGAAAACGGCTTACAATCTGCTTGTCATTCACACATTCACATACTCATCTACAAGGTGCTTGCCTGCCATCAAAACCAACTCTGGATTACAGTGTTTTTCCCAGGGATACGAGGCCTGGGATCAATTCACCAACCCTGAACCATGGCAGAGGGTCCTGGAAGGTGGGTGGTAGACTCGTGGCTGGTCAATGATACGGTAGCCACGAGCTAAAGCATTCCCTTCATACTATTTATTTATATGAGAGGGAAACCAATTTACAAAATCATGGTATGTTGAGGAAAACTTCAAAGTTGCAACTGAGAGCATAACCTCATCAGGAAAGTGCTTACTGAGGACATCAATGAACTGAGAAGTAGGGTCACCTTCTCACTGGCCTCTAAACATTAGGACTTGGAGTTCTGGCCATTAGTAAGAACACAGATTTAAGGCACTTTCATAATGGTTCCACTTTTCAGACTGGGCAGCACAGTCCTTCTTTTATACAGTCTGTGCTTGGAAAACGAGGCGCCTGGTTCAGTTGTGACAGTAGAAAGTAAGGATGGAAAATTTGACTTTTTTCTATACTGCTAGGATCCTTCAAAAAGACTCCAGGGTCTAAATTAGGTTCCAGAGAACTTAAAAGGTCTCTGCTCACGGTGTAGTACTTTCTGAAAGTTAAGAAACTCTGGAGTGAGGCTCAGATTGCTTAACATTTGTGGTTGGCCAACCCCTGAGGGAATGCAACCAATCAGTCTTAGTGATCTGACAGTTATCTGTCCCGCATGTAAAAATCAGCACGCTTTCTTTAAGGTGAAACTGTCGGTAACGGTTTGTTTAAACAACACTGATGCCTGGTTCAATGGGGGCATCAGAGTAGTGTTCAAGCAACGTCATAAACAGAGGAAATAATGTATTTTTGCTGCCAGAATCTGTGTGCGCGCCAGTAATGCAGGCTTCATCCTGCACAGTGATGGAAAAGGTTGAAAACTTTTTGATAAAGCTGTTCTTCTCTTTCACCTTGACCCCCAACCAATCACAGCTGTCCCTCCCTGAGCCTGGTTTCTGCTGGAGGTCTCCTCCTATTAAAATTTAGTTTTTATTCTTCCACAGCTGCTCATTTGAAGGGATCATCAAATCGTTGAGGTTCTCTTTGTAACATCTGCCTTACAATATAAAGTGCCTTAAGTGTTGCTACATAAATAAAACGGAACTGAACTGAAACTGAGATGTGAACGCAGCAGGGATGTAACCTTGTCATGACTTTTTTCACAGCTGCTGCCATGTCAGCGGACTAATCTGTCTTATCTTTGCAGAAAACCAGCAGTCTGAAGCAACATTTTACTTCCTTGAAAGAAGTTTATCTGAGCCTAAACCTTGTTCATGTTTACGGATTGTGAGTGTTCATATCATCAGATGTCTGAGTATGATCCTTACTGCAGACTCAATAAACAGCAGCAGAACTCAAAGGTTAAATTTCTCCAGAGAAGCTCAGACAGCCCAGCAGCTGTTTGATAAAAACATAGAGTAGCTGCTTTTCAGGGACATTGATAACTCAGAATGAGGTTGTTTTACTACTGTTGGAGAGTTAGAAATATATATTTGTTCAACACTTTTATCAGCAGGCTGCCTAGTGTTTGATTTTGCTATCACATCTCCTTATTAGGGCTTAGTCAGATCTATCTGAGCTTTTGGTAAAGCTGAGTTTCCCAACATTTTTCCAACATTTCTGTAAGTTAGAAACCGTTAAGTAGAGTAGCTCTGATGTGACATGCGCCCAGCATTTGGAAACATAGCCGTCTACTGATAACAAGACTGGCAGCACAAGAGTGTTAGGAAAAGAAATAAAGGAATAAATATAGAGTACCTCTGGAAATATAAGTTAAATAAATGCGGCTCTTATTTGTACCACATTTTTTCTCTTTGCTTCTGTTTTGCAGATCAAACGACCAGAGGTCATCCTGGACCTAACTTCACTAGGTTCAAGTCCCCCTAAGCGCCCTCTGAATCACTCTCAGAAATGAATTTGCAGACTTACAGCTAAGATTTCAGCTCAATGAACAGCTCTGCCCATCTTCGGCACAACTAAACCCACGTGAAACTGAACCAGACCTCAGTCCAGGTTTTAGACGACAGTAAAACCTGGCAGGGTTGACCTCTGCGTAGGTGCGCTCTGGTTGAAGGCCTGCAGGGTCTCCGAGCGACATGCAGGCGGTTGATTGTACAAACTGGAGGAGTGCAAACTGTTCCAGATATTCAACACGAAGACACAATAAAAATAAGTAATTTCCCACTCTTTCATTAAGACTAAAAACTAAAATAAAGCTACTGTGAAAGTGGGTTTGGTTTGACATTAAAAGTGCTTCCTTTGGAAACAAAAGACTACGGAAAACAGATTCATCCTGGAAGAACAACTTGCTCTGTTGGACATACTTGGAAAAACCAATGAGGAGGCTTTTTTTTTTTCGCCAAGCAACTGACTCTGCTAAGAGGAATCAAGAACTCCTCACACTGTTCAGACATTTTAGACGGTATTCAGAATGACTCAAAATCATGGCCGAGTACTGTCACGAATTGGGTATAAATACTCACAGATTAGATTCACTACTTGTAGGAGGCATTCTGAAAATGGATGGAAAACATTAGTGCCCCCTCTCCGTTTATTGTTAGCTTAATGGAAAATGGGGACGAAAACAAATGATGAGATTTCCGAGAAACCAGTTTAAGGTGCAAACCGCCGCCTCACATCATCTCTGAGGCTTTCAGTCGAGGACTAGTTTCAGTAAGGGACAGTCAGTCAACAGGAGGAGTTAAGAGCAGGTTAAAAGTCAGGGACTGTCAGTCAGCAGCACAGCGATGAGTAAGGGACTGTCAGTCAATAATATCAGACTTTAAAGCTGTATAACAGAGACAAAACAATAAACTATCAAAATACTAAATAAAAAAAACAGGTTATATTCCGGAAGCAACGTTTCGTTCAGAGTAATGTGTTGTTAAGCGTTGGTTTTTAGTTCCAAACTACTCCCCCCCCCCTCCCCACGGAGACTAGCGGGACACAACAGCTGCCTTTTGATTATATATACACACACACTTTTTATCGGTTTTTCCTTTTCATTTGTTTTTCCTAGAAAAAAAGATACTATCCATTTTCCACTCGAGGTGTCCCTCAGCGCCAGGTTGGTTCTCTAATCCAGAACTTTACAGAGTCTCCAGACAGAATCAAACAGAGAACAAGCTGCGACAGTCCTTCCAGCTCTGTGTGACGCTTTTCTTCTATCTGTAAACGGTGTAAAAACCATTACAAGGACATCCCAGTCATACTCCTCTTCTGCCTGGTGCTGATTCAGTCCGTCAGGCTATTGGTAGACGGCAGGTTCATCAGTCCAACCAATCAGCTGACTCTTTCGCTGACAGCAGTCCGTGACTCTACGGTTTCTTCTCGGCTGGGACAGGGAACAGCAGATTGCGGGACGATGTCTCTGAGCTCCCTACCCTCACCTGCTGCCTCTGGCTCTGCCCGGAGCCTAGCCCTACCATCTGCCCCAGGCACGTGACCAGCCCCAGATACTCCAGGAGGTCCAGGAGGCATGGAGCTGGGAGGCCTCGAGGTGCTGTTTGATCCTCTGTCTCCTCCTAAAACCTCTCTGCTTTCGGATGGCATGGCTGGCTCCCCTCTCCCCTCTGTCCTAACCCCTTCCACGCTGACGTCTCGGCTCGGGATCAGGCTCCCTCTGCCAGGCCTTGTGGTGCTCAGGTCTTGTGGCTGTTCGCTCTGGTTTTGCTGAGCAGGGACGAGGTTGGTCCTGGTTAGGCTGGAAGATGGTCGGCTGGATGAGAGGTGCTGCACGTTTGGCCTGGTAAGCTGAGAGTGTGGCTGGGAGCGCAGCTGTGGTTGGATCCGCTGAAAGTGTGGTTGTGCTTGGGACTGGGGTTGGGACTGGGGCGGCCTAGGCTGGGAGAGAGATTGACTGGATTGTGGTCTGTATTGAGTCTGGAGTTGATGTTGTGATGGGGGCCTTGTCTGTGGTTGCACTTGGTGTCTGGGTTGCAGGTGAGGTTGAGGTTGGGCTGAAGTTCTAGACTGGGCTTGTGGCTGCATTTGGGTTTGAGGTCTGGGCTGGGATTGAGGCTGCATTTGGGCTAGGGTCCTGGACTGGGATTGAGGCTGCATTTGACCTTGGTTTCTGGACTGAGGTTGAGGATGAGTTTGGGTTGGGGTCCTAGCGTGGAGTGTCGACGGCATTTGGGATGGGGTCCTGGATTGGGGTGCTGATTGTGATTGGGCTGGAGTCCTGGATAGGGGTTGCAACTGGACTGGGGTTCTGGATTGGGTTTGAGGCTGCGTTTGGCCCGAGGTTCTGGGCTGCAACTGAGACTGAGGTTGGGCTGGAGGCCTGGATTGGGACTGACTCTGAGCTTGAGTTGGGGTCCTGGCCTGGGATTGAATTTGAGGCTGAAGTGACTGTCGGGGCTGGGGCTGAGATTGCTGTTTGAGCTGGGTTTGGAGTTGAGATGGGTGCCTTGACTGGGTTTGAGGTTGGGGTGCTGTGGGGGATGTAGTTTGTGGATGTGGATGCCTTGTTTGGTGCGGATGGATGTGCAGGATGGAGGGGCACTGAGGAGGATGTGACTGAGGTTGCGTATGCTGACTCTGAAGCTGGGTTCGGTGTTGGGTTGAGGAATGAACAGGTTGTGAGGGAACTTTCTGGTTGGCAGCCTGAGGCTGACTGTGGGTTTGGGATGGGGGCTGTTGGGGCCGTGGTTGTGTCAGGCCGTGTCGGGTAGGAGAGGACTGGGGTGCTGGGTAACGACTCTGGGCTTGGGACTCATGGGGAAACTGGGGCTGGTAGCGTGGTTGCAGGGTAAGATGTCGAGGTTCGGGCAGGGACTGTGGTGCAGACTTGGACTGCGGTCTGGGAAGAGCTTGCTGGGTGTGCTGCGACTGTTGGGAGGTGAGCTGAGGCACAGTCTGAGGCTCAATGTCAGGCTTGGACTGGCTAGAAGGTGCTGGGTGTCCAGAGGGTGGAGGAGGAGGAGAAGGTTCATCCAATGTTGAGACAGTGGATTGTTGGTGGCGATGCTGATGATGGTGGTGGTGGTGATGGTGGTGCTTGTGAGGTGTTCGCTCCTTCCTTTTGTGGCTTTTTGACGGACTAGTGCTACTGCTGCTACTGCTACCCCTTCCACCCAATCCCCCCTCTCCTCCCTTATCGCTTACATCTTCACCTACTTCTTCCCCTTTGGTTACACCATCACCTGTTGCCTCTCCTGATTTGTCCTTGTGCTTCCGCCCTTTATGTGTCTTGTGTCCATGTGGTTGGCTGTCATCTGAAGCAGAAGGCTGCTTCTGTGATTGTGACTGGCTCTGCTCAGAGGGGGCGGGCTCAGGCTCTGAGCTTGGACCTCCTGCCATTGTACTGCTCTCCTCCTCGGCCGCTGTTGACTTTCCAGTCTCTGTTGTTGTAGCCATTGGAGTCTGCACACTCTCCCTTTCCTCCACTGTCTCTCTCGTTTTACGTTTTTTGATTGGCAGAGCTGTTTCCTGGACAACAGGTTTGGTGGAAGACTCCTTAGCTGCTCTCCGTTTGGCCTCAGCAGCCAAGATGGCAGCTGCAGCGTAACTTCCTGCTGTTGAGCTACCAGAGGCTGATGCAGCGGAGGTGGATGCTGTGGCGACTGATGCTGCTGTGGAGGCTGACGCTGGTTTCCTGCCCCGTTTCTTGGGGGCAGTCTGTGGTGGAGGCGGAAGTTCTTGTTCTGATTTCCTCTTTCTGCCAGGGCGGGACTTGGTCACCAAGGCAGGAGACACCACCTGCAGGGGAATTGCCAGATCAACAGGAAAAACCTGCATTAGCATTGTTGCTGGAATTATAAAAACATATTTAAGATTTTAAAGCACTGACTAGACTGCTTCCTGGATGCCTCCTAGGTGAGTTGTTTTGGAAATATCCAAATAGTAGGGACTCCAGGGTAGGCAATAAACATTCTGGAGAGATCATGTCACTCAGCTAGCTTTGGAACACCTTGGTGTCCCCCTTGAAGAGCTGGCTGAGGAGAGAGAGATCTAGGCATATCTGTTTAGACTGCTTCCACCAAGATCCAGGTCCAAATAAGAAGCAGATAATAGATGGATGAAAATACTAACCATACTTACTGCAACCACATACTACAGTCTATCTACTTTTACTCATCATTTACCTCTGTTTGTGAGGATCTTCTCCAGGTAGAGCCTTAAGTTTCGAACCATGAAAATCATAAACACTAGTGCACAGCCAAGTCCTCAGTATCCACTCTCAAGACATTCTTGGCAGGACTACTGCCAGTCAAGATAAGTGTTTTATTTTAAACTCCTAATGAAAGTCTTTTCTACCTTCCAGATGATTTGTGGATCTCTTGTGTTGATCAATTGCTTAAGACCTTATTTCAGTGTATGTTAGCTGTTTTGCCCATCTTCAGGACACAACTCTACGAAGGTAAACAAAGTCTTCCATGAATTCCCTTCCCATTCTTTTCACTGGGATATTCAGAAGGTCTTTGTAAAGATGGAACTGGAGACACACACAGGATCCTTAGTCATGTCTCTAACTTTGCTACAAATGAGGATTTACAATCTTTCATTTCCTGTGACATGATTTAACTATCTCTAAATAGTTATTTGCAGGCTAAAGTTGATCAAGGTAAAACCTTGGGTTGCCTTTATTTGCTGTCACGCACAAAAAGAAGAAAAAAATACAAGCTGCCACCAGCACTACCCCTCAGATTCCAAGTAGATACACCTATGGTCTCAATTTGAAAATCCTAGATTATTTCCGTCTTGAATTATTGAACTCACAAGATTTTAAGAAAACTTGACCTTGAAGTCAAGATCACTGAGATTTGAACTTGTCCAATGTACAGGCAGCTATGGTATCAATTTCAAAATCCTATGTTGCCTTGTTCTCGAGTTATCACACTCACAAACTTTGGTGTCCATGCTGCCCACCCGCCCGGCAAAATGACGGCAGTACTAGGGCTGCCACGATTAGTCGACTAGTCACGATTACGTCGACTATCAAAATCGTCGACGTGTCGTTTGAAGCTTTGTAAGATCACAAAAGACGCAGGAATAAGTAGCAGGATTTAAGAGTGTAATAACGGACTGAAACAGAAGATGGCAGCACTGCATGTACAAGGATGCCAGCTGCCGTTAAACCCCGAAGAAGAAGTAGCTGTGTCCCAGAATTCATAGCGCAGCCCAGCTCAGTTTCCAACAATGGCGGCAGCTAGTTAGTTTTAATATTACTCTTATTATTCTTTCTGGGTCACAAAATAAACGTTTAACATATTTTCAGGCGAGAATGTAGCTGTGTAAACCTCAAATATCTGCTCAGTTTATCAGGACACCACATATTTTCAAAAGCGCTCCGACGTTTTCGGAGACGTCTGTTACCCACTAGCTCGATAGCTAGCCGGGGGCTAGGTCACTAGCGCCGTGAGAACACCGGACTCCCGGCAAATCGTTTTCAAACCCACCGCCGTCTTTCGCTACTCAGGTTAAACATATATATGAGTCACTTAGATAACTTAAAAATGTTGTTGTTTGGCTTTTTTTTTAGTATTTTATTTGTTCCTGAGTAAATCGGTTTGGCTGAGATTAAAGTTATAGTTTTTACACAGCTGAATAAACGTCAAGCAGACAGCTGATTATCAGAAGTGTGAGATGCTCGAGAATATACTCCGGTGTCCTGTTATATTTTAGATAGCAAGGAGTTTATTAAACTTCACCGAAACAATCTGCAAATTTCATTAAAATTTAATAAACTATCATCTTGTCTTTATTTTTAGTTAGCACAACCTTAAACACTTAAAGCTGTAAGCTAATGATAGTTATATAAGAGCAGATGCTGCTGGTGCAATAAGCTGTACGTTTTACGTCCAATGGATGATGATCTGATTAGTCGACTAATCGCAAAAATAATCGGTGACTAGTCGACTATCAAAATAATCGTTTGTGGCAGCCCTAGGCAGTACCCATCAGCCTTTCACAGCTGAGGGGTAAAAATTACAGTACGCCTCAACTATCCTTGAAGGTAGTGAGCCAGAATGGCAGGACAGCATGACCCAATGATACTGGTTGGGAGTTGGGTCTTCAGTCTTTCCTGTCTTGCCTGATATAGGATGCTCTTTACATTACACCTGTAGGTCAAAGGGGGACCAGTTTGACTCTCAAAAGCTGCTTTGAAGGTTACTGAAAAACACAAGTTAATCAACCTCAACAAAGTGGTGATTCATTGGATGACATTATGGTGTAGAGGTGTGATCATTTTAATCAAAATATCTTTAAATGATTATGTTTATATGTGTGAACATCAGTTTTGGAGAGATGCATATTTTCTCCTTGAAGCATATTTCTGTTAGCTTTCCTGGACAGAAGAAATGAGGAAAGTTGCTTAGGAAATGCATGTTTGAGTTATTCAGCTTATTGCGACAATCTCAACACTGTGCTTCTCGAAAATGTACGAACGACTAAACGACAGAGCAACCATACCTTTGAGGTGGTGGTCGTGGTGCCAGTGGAGGTCTCTGCTTTGCCGAAGGGCATCTTGACCAGCAGTTTGCCCGGAGTTTTCTCAACCACACGTTTCATTGCCACTCCTTCTGTAGCCTGCCTCATCTTCCCACTGCCTACAAAAACACAAATAGATACACAATTACAGAAAAAATAAATACTCAAATAGAAATACTCAGGAACAGCTTTCCAGTATAATTTCTAGAATCACATCTTTTAGTACCTTTGGGCCTCCCACGACCACGCCCCGATGGTTTCACCACCTTTGGTTTCTTGGGTGGGCGCTTCTCACGGCGGGAGGGGCTCCCACGCCCAGTAACAGTAAAGTCAAAATCATTAGGGTCGGTTGTTGTGTCACCAACCTTTTGGAAGTAGGCAATAAGCTCCACCTTGGAACGAAACGCTTTCCCCTCCGAGCTAAACAGCAAAAAAAAAAAAAAAAAAAAAGCAAAAAAAAAAAGCATCACAAATGTTCATTTGGGGGTTTTACTCCTCTACATCCTGGAAAACGAGCACACTGTCAGGGTGGCTCAGGGCATGGCTTACTTGATTAGGTAGACATCAAACTTCCCAGCAGAGCGTCCAGACTTTCTCTGTTTCAGTTTGCGGGTCCAGCCTTCGGGCAGAGATGGGTCATCATACAGCGGCCCTCGGTCCCGAATGATGGAGCGCCGCTGCCTGGAAGATCCGGCAGACTCGCTACCACCTGCAGACTCTGACCCTGGCTCTGAGGGACCGGCCACTGGCTCTGACATCTGCAAGGAAAAGGTGAGCAAAAACTTGTCCTTCATCCTGAGCAAAATGTGTCATGATGTTCAGCAGGTGATGAAATTTGTCCCTCCATGATTCCACTGTTTCTACTAACTTCTAATGCAGTCTTTACCTGGGTTTGTTGCTCCAACCCTGTCTGTGGCTGCTGTGCTGTTGAGGTTGAAGCTGAGGCCATGGTCTCCGTCCCCCGCTCAGCATGACGACGTTCCCTGCGGGGTTTCTTGGTCTTGGACCTGTCTTTTTCCTTCCTTGGAGGCTGGGGTTCAATAGGTCCTTCATCACCTTCTTGCCCCTCCTCCCTGCACAAAAAAGAGAGAAAATCATACTGTTGACATTATGACCACAACCTGTTAACTGCAGGTGTTCTGTTAACTTCATAAATATAAGTTCATCCACATAGAACACTTTCAGATCAGTGTTTGACTGAATCAGTAAGAACACGTTAGGCTTCCTTTAGCTTCACTCTAGGGCTGCCACAAACGATTATTTTGATAGTCGACTAGTCACCGATTATTTTTGCAATTAGTCGACTAATCAGATCATGCATCCATTGGACGTAAAACGTACAGCTTATTGCACCAGCACGCATCTGTCAGTTCGCTGTTCTTGCCGGCTCTAGTGAGCCTTGAACCCTGGCTAGCTATCGAGCTGGTGGGTAACAGACGTCTCCGAAAACATTGGAGCACTTTTGCAAATATGTGATGTCTTGATAAACTTATTAGCTGCCGCCATTGTTGGAAACTGGAATTGACTGGGCCGCGCTATGAATTTTGGGATAGGTTGGGCCACGATGGATACACCCGACCCATCCTTCAAATCTGGGGAAATGAAGAATGCATTTTTTGGCCGCGTTTGGGGGAGTCTTCGAATTTGGACAGGCGTGCCACGTCCCTGTAATGTAATTGACCTACAAATGCAGCCTCCGAAGGATGCGGCCGCTAAATTTGGACACAGCTATGAAACCCAGACACTACTTCTTCTTCTTTGGTGTTTAACGGCAGCTGGCATCCCTGGACATGCAGTGCTGTTCTTCTGTTTCAGTCCGTTATTACACTCTTAAATCCTACTATTTATTCCTGCGTCTTTCGAAATCTTACAAAGCTTCAAACGACGCATCGACTATTAAATTAGTCGTTGACAATTTTAATAGTCGACGTAATCGTGACTAGTCAACTAATCGTGGCAGCCCTACTTCACTCCCATCAAATGTTTGCAGAACATTTAACTCCAAAGATCCTTCAGACCTGATATTTGATTTTGAACCATGTAAAAGCTGCATGAAGGCAAATTACGTGCCATTTTTCTAACCGCCAATACAAAGCTCTGACAGACTTCATAAAATTTAAAGCAGGACCTTCTTGAAGTAGATCACCGTCAGTGATTCTCACTGTATTACGTTCTTTGCATAAATGGTTAACAAGACCTGACCCTGGACCATTAATAAGCTGTTGCAATTTTGGCTGAGCAAAAAGTAGTTAAATAAGAAGTGTTATGTGTTTGCCACATCCATGGAGCACAGGTTGTGGTGATTGATTTAGGAATGAATTCTGATTAATTCCAGCAAATTATGTATGTCAGGGCATCTGTCCACAGACTGTTCCTTAAAAGAAAATGGGTCAAGATACAACACGACACCCTAAAACTCACAAGTCATTCCACCTAATAATGTTCAATGAAGACTAAAGATAATGGTTTAACAATGTCCAACATAAATGTTGTGAGAAGGCCTGTAGCGAGGAAACCAAGCAGCAATCACCGAGGCTAAAAATGAAGTGCCAAAACCTCCACTTCCTCTAATGGCCAATTGAGGCTGATTCTAAAAGTGAGACAATCTTCATAGACTCTAATGTTAAAAAGCTTTGGCTTCAGTGGATATCTTTACCAGCAGCACCCACTAATCCAAATATTGTCACTACTTGCTATACACACACTATAGCTGCCACACTATAGCTGCCAAAATGCTAACGCTTCATTTAATGCCTTTAAATGAAGAACCTGAAACCAATGGGTAACAAGGTGACTACGTCCATCTTTTATGTACGGTTTGTGAAATCTTACTTATATAGTACCTTGCCTGACCCTTTACTCCTAGTTCTGATTGTGTAGCACTTTGTAGACGTCCCTGTGCAGCACTTATCTCGCAGACAGCCTTTATTTGGCTATTGGTGATTTGGTCTTCTATTTGCTAAAGCTAAAGCTGGTGAGACGCTGTGACTCCCTCTCCATAATCCTTTGTCTGTTTGCTAAATCTGACTGGTGTTTGTAGATTACAAAAGCAAGCATGCGATCGCCTAAATGTTAATATAGAGTCCAACATCAGTGACACATGTCATGGTGGCTACTTCCATCAATCACTGAAAAGGAAAAAGTGGGCACCCAACATTATACATTATAACATTTTTATTACTTTTAAGACTTATTCTGTATTTATGCAGAATAAAGCAAATTCCAAAGGATTTACAAACTTTTTCCTGTAACTGTATGTAGTGAATGTTGGGGCACTGCGGCATCACTGAGAGTCGAAAAAGTGTCTAAATATGTCCACCTGTAATAAAATGATCAGTGTGGCTGCTCTACCAGGTGTAACTATTAAGTTTAACATCCAGGCATCCATGAAATTTTTTTTATAAAATTTAACGGAGTTGGAAGTTAGCAGGGAGTAAGCTCGCTAGTTTCCATCTAAATACAATACAGCATGTTGTGACTGAGGGATTTCTGAAACAAATTAAGACGTACAGCTCTGCTATCACTTCAGACATAAATGAAGACAGAAAACTAAACAGCAGTGATGTTTGTAGGGTTACTGAAGTTGGACTAGCTGGGATAAAATGACATGCTACGTGATCACTAGCAACACAGCTATCTTAGCATAATATAAACAGTGAAGCTGGAGGACAAAAACTAACTTTTTCACTCGATTAAAGTTAACGTGAGGGGTCCTGATGGTCAGGGACAAATGCAATTAAGATAACCTGTATTAGTCCCACACGTGGGAAATTTGTTATTGTAATCGCATGACAGGATGCTATAAACGGACCAAACTTCAGTCAGAAGAACAACTGAGATAATCCATCCACAATACGAGGTTAGTCATTAATACACTGCTGCATGGGCTGGGCTGTAGATATATCTTACACAAAACTGAGGTGTGTTAAAAACTGAGCTTTAAAATAATAAGGATAATAGAAACCAAGAGAGGCCGACAGTAATCACTGACTGTTTTTAGGGGCTTGTAGATTAAATAGAACAAAATGCAAAGCATTAAAACCTGTTAAAAACACAACAGCCTTATTAAACACAGAGTGGTTTGGGCCCGGAAGCAGGACTCATCACGTCATCACTTAAAGACAGGATTGTGAAGCAGTTGCAGGAAGTGCTGAGTTACAGTGACTGACTACCCCTGAACGCACCAACAGGAAGTCTTCAACTCACGCTATGGTTCGTCTTTAAGTAACTGTAGGTCACTGTGGTGTTTTTTACCCACTGCAGCAGCTTTGTAACAAAAAGAGATACACATCTAATGTTAGATTAGATAAGCATGAGCGGTGCATTTCCCCCTGATGCTTCTTGAACTTAACAACTTAACAAGTTTGTGTCCTTTGCTCAGCTGAATACAACTACTTTATCTAAGAAAGCTTTGGATCAGCTGCAGCACACATTTTCAGTGCAGATTAATCAGTTTTTAATTCCCTCAGTACACCAAATTAGTTTTTAAAGTTATATGAAACTGTGATGGTTTTTATCTTGCTTTGACCGACCATCTTTATTTGGTGCAAAACAATGTTGAATTTCCTGTTTTTCTAACGGGGAGCAGAGGCTGTTTCTCATCATAAGTCTGACAGCTGGAACAAGATTAACCTTACTAAATAAACTCTGACAGAAACCAGAAGAGACCAAAATCAGAGTCACTGGTGGAACTGACAGCAGAGGATAGATAGCTCTCTTCTGATTAAAAGACTAATCAGAATTCCTCATTAATATTTATGTGTTAAATGATTATTTCAGCAGCATGAGGGCTGAAGACGAGTCGGACCAGTGTTTACTTCACATTTCCAGTTAAATGTCACATTGAGACTGAAAATGTCAGACCCAACAGAATGCCTGTGTTTTCTTAAACTTTAAATCAGTCATTTAAAAACTTCAGTTCATAAAATGAATAAACATTGCTTCTGAATGCATGAAAACAAAAGCTCTGAGGTGGTTTTGAGACATTGAAATCTGTAATAGAAAATTCTTGTCTTAAATTGGCTGCAATCACGAGCACTTCCTCTTTTTCATATTCTCCTTCTCTTCTGCTTTAACCTGACAGATGTGTACAGATGGGTGCAATTGTTCCGTTTCTGAATGTTAATTGCTGGAATGAGATAAATCTGTGTAACACCAACTACTTTGTCTTTGCTGGCTATAAAATAAAACCTGCATGTTATAAAAACAGATTTATATATAAATAAAATATTAAAGTATCTGTGTGTTGTGTTTGGGTGCATTAGACATTCAGATTTCAATCACATTTATGTAAAAGCTTATCTGATTCATTATCTGCAGCACAGCCAAACTTATAGTTCACAAAGTCTATACATTCATGTGTTAACTTATGAGGAGACGGATGTAAAATATATATACACCGTATTTTCCTCACAATAAGGCGCACTTAAAATCCTTTCATTTTCTTAAAAATCCACAGTGCGCCTGATAATCCGGTGCGCCTTATATATGAATTCTGGTTGTGCTTACTGACCTCCAATCGATTTTATGTGGTACACGGCACTCAAAAATCTGTCAAAAAATGTTTTAGTACCACTTTGCTAAGCTATGAAGCCGCACCGCTTGATGGATTGTTGGATCAGGTAGTCAGGAGCTTTGCGGAGTAATCTGGGTCCAAAAACTCCGTCTGCTTCAGGTCCCAAAGTCAAACGAACACTGCAGCGTCACAGAGTTAAAACTGTCTAAATTCTTTCATCTTTAATAAAATGATCAGCGTTGCTGCTTTACCAGGTGTAACAATTAAGTTTAACATCCAGGCATCCGTGAAAACAGAATTTATTAAATTTAACAGAGTTAGAAGTTAGCAGGAAGTTAGCTCGCTAGTTTCCACCTAAAAATGATATAGCATGTTCTGACTGAGAGATTTCTGAAAGAATTAAGACGTTTAGCTCTGCTACCACTTTCAGCATAAATGAAGACACAAAACTAAACAGCAGTGACATTTGTAGGGTTACTGAAGTTGGGCTAGCTGGGATAAAATGATGTGCAATAATGACGTATAATGACGTGGGATATAGCGACACAGCTATGTTAG